CCGCCACCGAAAAAGGGTGGGCCACACCCCTCGCACGTGCCGAGGACATTTACAAGAAAAAAATTACGGTCCTCCCCCCCCCCCCCCTCCTCCTCCTCCTCCTCTCCATTGGTTCCACTTCTTCGTCCTCTGTGCCCTCTTCCGCCCTCTCTCCTCACCCTCACCCACACCGTCACCCTCACCCACTCCTCGTCAGCCGCCCGCCCCACTCCTCCCGCAATGTCGCGGCAGCCAACCCGCCCGCGACTGAACACGGGAGCGTTTGGTGATGCCGACACTGACGAAGCTGTTCTCGCTCATGTTCGGGCGAGCATGGCTGGCGAGGCAACGGCAAGTCTGGGCAAGCAGCAGTCACCCGGCTCCGCAGACGGCGACGACAAGCGGGATCCGCCTCACCAGACAAGCCATTCTCGGCCAATCAAGGCGAGTCGGGCGCGGCCGATGGCGGTCTCTGTCCACTCGCCAGGCATCGGCTCGCCGCGGCCCAATCCGATGTTCACACCCACCATGGGCTCCGGCCTCTCCACCTCGCCCGACTGGCCCTCGCCCACTGCCGATCTGCCGACGGGCGCACCTGGCTCGGGCCTTGCCTCGCCACCGCTGTACGGCTCGCCGCCTCTGGTCCATCTACGCGAGGAGTCGACCAAGCCTGACTCGCCAAGCTCGGCCCTGGCACGGTCAGCGATGGCGGCAAGGGATGCGGAGATCCGCGGGGCCCAGGCCAAGCGCATCACCGAGCTCGAGGCTGCGCTCGCTGACCTGCGCTCCCTCGCCGACTCGATCCCCATCAAGAACGCGCGAATTGCCAAGCTGGAGATCGAAAATGCAGAGCTGAAGACTAAGGTCGAGCAGCTGGAGCGGACACTGCTACTGATGTCGGCCTTTGATGGGGCGTCAGACCCGCTGCTGGTGCCCTCGGCTGCTGCAAGGTCTTCAGCCTCGTCGGGCGCGCACTCTCTGGCAGTCGCGTCGCCGCTGACGACCCTGGAGAACGCACCGGCGCTGCTCTCGCCGTCAGCGCCAGAGTTTCCCAACACTGACCACGATATGAGCTCGAACGCGCCATGTGCCGACAACGAATTGGACCCGCTACCGTCCTTTGTTCAGCTCCCTTCATCACCTCCTGGCACACTCGAGTTGGCGTCGCCGCGGTCGACCACTGCCTCGGCCCCGCCGTCTCCGCGGACCGATACCTATGATCCCCCGCCATCGCCGCGATCGCTGGTGGGCAGTAGCGCGGTCTCGCCACGGACCGGCGACGCGGAGCCCGAGCCCGAGCTCGAGCCCGAGCCCGAGCCCGAGCCCGAGCCCGAGCCCGAGCCTGAGCCGCGAACTGTGCACGAGCTCACGGTTTGCCTTGTCGGGATGGAGCAATGTGGCAAGACGAGCCTCGCCGAGACCTTTGCCTACGGCGAGTTTCCTGCAGTGGCCGAGCCTACCATCGAAGATATCATGTTTGCCAGCCGGGCAGTCGGAGCGCGCGAAGAGTGGAAGCTGCGCCTTATCGACATGTCGGGCGACTATCTGGCGTACGGTGCGCTATGGGAGCAGCACATTGCCAGCGCCGATGCGTTTGTTCTTGTCTTTGCGCTCGACTCGCTCGACTCATTTCGGATGATCTCGGTTTATCGGCGGCTCATCATCGAGATGACCGGTGATCCCGCGCCGCTGATGGTGCTTGTGGGGACAAAGAGTGAGTGCACGCCTCATGCAGTCCCGCACATCGAGCCGTCAGCCGAGGCATTTCTGTACAACATCCCATATCATGCGGTGTCGGCCGCGCAAGGGCTCCACGTCAACGAGCCGTTTGTTGACCTCGCTCAGCTGGCGTCCAAAGCGCTGGCCTCGTCGCGGCTGCTGTCGGCGGCGTCGCGTGCTGCGCGCAAGGTCGGTTCGGCGGCGGCCGCCGCGTCGCGTTCGGCCGGTCGCAGTTCGATCCGCGAGGGTGCAGCCCTGGTCCGCCTTCGTGTTGGCGTCACTCGCAAGCGCAAGTGGGTTCCGGCCTTTCTCGTCCTCACCACTTCGACGATTGCTTACTACAAGAATGAGACCAAGCGAGTCGAGGGCAAGAAGCCGCTTGGTGAAGTCGCGGTGGTCGACACCGTCCCGCTAACTGTCATGAGCCTCGAGGACGAGACGGACCTGGCGGCATACTACTCGACAGCTGGCGATCTCGGCGACGTCGACCTTACTGTCATGGACCCGTCCGACGACGATCACGTGCCGCCGCTGCCAGACGTCGTCGACGACGCCATCGACGAGGACGAGCACGTTGTCCGCATCGTCTACGCCAAGGGCGGACGGAGCTCAAAGCAGAACAAGCTCAAATTGGCGTTCCCATCGCGAGTTGTCAAAGACGCGTGGATTTCAGACGTGGCGGCTGCTCAGGCCCTGACCCGATGCATCGGCGTCGGGCTCGACTTGCTCTTGGCGCGATACCCTCGTGACGCGGGTGGCAACGTCCAGCTCGTTCCGCTGGTTGTCCGCCGTGTGGCACAATTTCTCGAGGATTCCAAAGTCAAGCGAATGCGGGTCATCGGCCTCTACCGCAAGACCGCCCCGCGTGCCAAGGTGCTCGAGCTCGCACTGCGGCTCGACGCCCAGACATGCGACTTGCACGAGCTTGTTCACGAAGACCCACATGCCATTGCATCTGTGCTCAAGCTTTTCTTACTCGAGCTTCCGGAGCCGCTGCTGACCTGGCGGCTCTACCCGGATCTCATCGAGGTCATGGCGGCGCACTCGCCGCAAGCGCCTGCGGCGACGGCGTGTGCGCTGCGACAGGTGCTGGCGCAGCTGCCACCAGGAAACGCCGCGACCTTTAGGTTTGTCATGGACCACTTTGCGGCCATCTGCTCCGAGTCGGATCACAACATGATGATTTCGTCTAACATGGCCATCATCTTTGGCCCTGCACTGCTGCGAGCACAGGAGGAGGTCTGGCACCGCACCGCCGGCGCTGCGCCTGCTGCATCGATGATCGAGCATCTGCGCCATCAGCACGCCATCGTCCACTTTGTGCTCCAACACATGGACGAGGTGTTTGGCTAGTCTGGCTTCCGCGTAGAGTTTACTCGGCCGGGTACGCGATCTCGGCCTCGGTCACGGTTGCCCCGGTCCCGTAGTCGACATAAAGAACGTCAAAGGTGCCGTTGCCGTGGACGGCTGTGATCGACGCGTTGTAGTACTGGCCGTCGTCGGCGTAAATGGCAACAACGGCATCGCCGACGCTCCAGCTTGCCGGGGCAGCCGCAGCAGCGTCGTCAAGCGGTGTGCCGTACTCGTCCACCGGCACGCCCTCGGCGTTAACCAGGTTGCCAGCCTCGTCGTAGAACAGCATCGGTCCCTCGGTGTCGGCGTCGGCAGGTGCCTCGGCCGCCGCAGAAGCAGCATCAGCAAGCGGCGTTCCGTACTCGTCGACAGGCACGCCGTCGGCGTTAACCAGGTTGCCGGCCTCATCGTAGTAGAGCATTGGTGCCTCCTCGCCCTGGCCCTCGAGACGAGTCCCAAACTCGTCGACAAGGAATCCCTCGGCATCGACAAGGTTCCCGGCCTCGTCGTAGTACAGCATCGGCGTCTCCTCCGCCGCGGGTTCGGGTTGCGGCGACGGCTGCGGCGACGGCTGCGGCGACGGCTGCGGCGACGGCTGCGGCGAGGGAGTAGGTGATGGCACGGTAACGGGCGGCGAAGGCGCCGGCTTGGGTGCAGCCGCAGGCGGAGGCGATGGGGCGGCGGTAGGAGGACCGCCGGAAGGGGGACCGGGCACGCCGGCAGGCGGACCACCAGGAGGCGGGCCAGGCACACCAGCAGGCGGACCACCAGGAGGCGCGCCAGGCACACCAGCAGGCGGACCACCAGGAGGCGGGCCGG